TCGAGTATGGAAATAAATCGCGAATATGGTCCAAGTAATAAATGCCCAAGTTTCTTTTGGGTCCCAATTCCAATATGATCCCCATGCTTCATTAGCCCAGACTGCTCCTGAAAGAATACCTATGGTTAAAAAAAGAAACCCTATACTAAGAATACGAAAACCCCAATGATCTAATTGTTGAATCAATTGAAACCTGTAATAATTCCTAGAAGAAGGAAAAAAAGTATTTTTAAAAATACTTTTTTTTTCCATCATGTATTGGATCTCATCAACGGGAAATGAATCATTTAATAAATTATTGTTTTTACCAACAATTCTTATGACTTTTCGAAATGTAATTACTAGAAGTGCTGCTGACAATAATGATCCACATAAAAGAGCTGCATAGCCCGATACCATCATACTTACGTGCATTATTAACCACTGGGATTGGAGAGCAGGTACTAAGATTTTAGATTGATGCATGTCGGTTAAAAGACCCCAAGTAGCAAAGCCTTGGGTAAAAAAAGTACTTGGTGCGGTTATTGTGCTTAAATAATTTTGATGTTTTTTAAAATATGGAACCATATGAATAATAGAGAAAATCCATGAAAGAAATATTAATGATTCATATAAATCACTTATTGGTAAATGTCCCGAATAAATCCAACGAGTAATTAGTAATCCTGTTAGGCAGAAAAAAGTAGTTAACATGCCTTTTTCTGACGAATCATAGAGTCCCACGAATTCATTAACTAATAAGGTTAGAAAATGAATTATAATTACAATTGAAACGACCGAAAAAGATATATGAGTTAATATATGTTCTAAAGTCAAAAATATCATAAAAAAAAGGGGGGAATACTTTAATTATCCATAATTCTACATACGGAATTGAATTCATTATAGGATTTATTCTATCCTTTTAATAATTAGATAATTTAAAAATAGATAATTTAAAAATGTTATGCCGCCACTCGGACTCGAACCGAGATGCTCTAGCACTGCTTCCTAAGAGCAGCGTGTCTACCGATTTCACCATGGCGGCTTGCTCAAAATTATAATAACCTTTTTTTATTCAATCGGCGAGCTTGAAGGAGTTAATTCAATGTAATATTTTTTTAGAAACATTAAAATTAATGAAAAAAAAATGAATTTTTTTTTTTTCATTTTTTCAATTTCAACATTCCATTCAAGGGATTTCTGAAACTATTTTATTGTATTAATCCTTAGGGTTTCGTTAGGTAGAAAATTTGTGTTAAGGTTTAGCAACTCCATTAGGTATTGATTTATGGACATATAATATAACAAAAAAGTTTCGAGTTCTGTTCCGGACTTTAAAATTCTTTAAAATTGAAAAATCTTATCTAATTTAATGTATATACCTTGATACATTATCCAGCCCAAACATATGATCTAAACTAGATCAGTCAAAATTTACACATTTTTATCTACCTGGTACTTCTTTAAATTGGATTGAAGGCATCAAAGGTTCTATTTTCTATAGTGATTAAAAATAAAAATTGTCAAGACAGTTATAAAATAAGTTAAACTTAATTCATTTTTTTTTTTTTTGATTGACTGATTCTTTAAAAATTAAAAAGAGATAAGAGTCAATGAATCATAAACAAGAAAGAATTCATTTTTTTTTTAATTAAAAATAATAAGATTTTTTTTATGGAACATACATATCAATATTTATGGATTATATCTTTCGTTACACTTCCAGTCCCTATGTTAATAGGAATGGGACTGCTACTTTTTCCGGTGTCAACAAAAAAGCTTCACCGTATATGGGCTTTTCCCAGTGTTTTATTGTTAAGTATAGTTATGGTTTTTTCGACCGATCTGTTTATTCAGCAAATAAATAGCAGTTCCATTTATCAATATGTATGGTCTTGGACCATCAACAATGATTTTTCCTTAGAGTTCGGGCACTTGATTGACCCACTTACTTCTATTTTGTTAATATTAATTACTACGGTTGGAATTTTGGTTCTTGTTTATAGTGACAGTTATATGTCTCATGATCAAGGCTATTTGAGATTTTTTGTTTATATGAGTTTTTTCAATACTTCAATGCTGGGATTAGTTACCAGTTCGAATTTAATCCAAATTTATATCTTTTGGGAATTGGTTGGAATGTGCTCTTATCTATTAATAGGTTTTTGGTTCACACGACCTATTGTGTCCAATGCTTGTCAAAAAGCATTCGTAACTAATCGTGTAGGCGATTTTGGTTTATTATTAGGAATTTTAGGTCTTTATTGGATAACAGGCAGTTTCGAATTTCAGGATTTGTTTGAAATATTCAATAACTTGATTTATAATAATGATAATGAGGTTCATTTTTTATTTGTTACCTTGTGCGCTTTCCTATTATTTTCCGGTGCAATTGCTAAATCGGCGCAATTCCCCCTTCATGTGTGGTTACCGGATGCCATGGAAGGACCTACCCCTATTTCGGCTCTAATACATGCTGCTACCATGGTAGCAGCGGGAATTTTTCTTGTAGCTCGACTTCTTCCTCTTTTCGTAGTTATACCTTACATAATGAAGCTAATAGCTTTGATAGGTATAATAACAGTACTATTAGGAGCTACTTTAGCTTTTGCTCAAAAAGATATTAAGAGAGGTTTAGCTTATTCTACAATGTCTCAATTGGGTTATACGATGTTAGCTTTAGGTATGGGCTCCTATCGAGCCGCTTTATTTCATTTGATTACTCATGCTTATTCGAAAGCATTGTTGTTTTTAGGATCTGGATCCATTATTCATTCAATGGAAGGTATTGTTGGCTATTCTCCGGATAAGAGTCAAAATATGGTTCTTATGGGTGGTTTAACAAAACATGTTCCAATTACAAAAATTGCTTTTTTATTAGGAACCCTTTCTCTTTGTGGTATTCCACCTCTCGCCTGTTTTTGGTCCAAAGATGAAATTCTTAATGATAGTTGGTCGTATTCACCTATTTTCGCAATAATAGCTTTTTCCACAGC